GAGCAGCTGGACACACCTGTGTTCCGTGCTGCTTACCACAGTTGTTACAAAATGAACCGGGCGTGGACGTGGTGGGCGAAGGCGTAGGAGCAGACTTCTTGTCCTTCTTGTACCGGGACACAGCGCGTACAGCTGTAGGGGGAGCTCGGATGGCAGAGGTGGCACACCTGGCAGCCTCATAGGAGCGACATATCGTCAACACATCCTTGAAGAGAAGAGGAAGAGTCGAGGGAGGTGAGGCGTTGGACAAGTTCCTCGTCCTTAACACCCATCAGGATCACCTGCTTCAACTGGGTCTCCTCGCACTGCTGGTGGTGGCCTAGACATATATCTACCTCTTCCGAGGCTCTCTTAAGACGTACATAAAAGGCATCAAAAGACTCACCCTCCATCTGTCTGCAGCTAAACAATTCCCTCCTGCGCAGAGCTTCATTCTGCTGTCCTTTGATGTGCCGTTGTAGAATGTCCAGTACCTCCTCTACAGACAACGAAGAGGTCGGAGGTACCTGCAACGTATGTTCCAAGACACGCTGAATTTCCAAGGACAGGCACATACGCAGCTGGATGAGTTGTTTTGGCTGTGACAAACTCTGGAGATCCACCATTGTAGAATAATCAGTCCACCGTCGCCGCCATTCACGAAAAGTCTGGAAATTCACATCAGGCTTCAAGATGGGCGGTGTTTGAGCTGCTGCTTTAGGTGGGGCTGGGGGGCGTGAAGGAAGCATTGATGAGGTATCTGAACCATTCAGTACCGAGGCAGTGTTAGAGCCAGGGGCTTGGTTAACAGTGAGGCGAGATATCAAAGCTTCAAACCGTGCACTGTCTTCCAATCTCCGTTGGTGGTCTTTCTCTGCCTCTGCTTGCCTTCTGTGTTCATCCGCCACACGTCTGTGAGCTTCATCCTCGCGTCTTTCATCTCTCATAAACTTCAGTAAAGCAATTATCTCTGGAGACAACGCTGAATATTGAGGTGAAGGGCTGCGCGATGTTGTGGGGTCTGGAGCGTCGTGGCCGGCCTGGTCATCCATCTCTGCGGGACTATCATCCGCTTGACTCATCCAGGCGCTGGGTCCACGGCTACGTAAGGCATGAGACATAACTACTTCATCTGCGTACTGTGTCTTAAATCAGTGTTGACCGGTCAGCCCTTCGTATCAACAAGATTTCAGACAAAAATTTAATTAAATACACAGATAAGTAGGTTATATATATAAAATATATATAAGAGAGCCGCGCGGTCAGCGAGTGTTAGTACATGTATGTGTGTGTGTGTGTCCCGGGCAGGCAGAGCGTCTCGCCTCAGCTGTGAGGGGGGGTTGGAGACAGCGAAGAGCTCAGTCACCCTCTGGACGCGGTCAGAGAAGGGTGCACTGAACTCTACTCCTTACAAATGCCCAGAACATGCCGTATACCTTGGGAATCCTTTAAAACAAGGTCACACATGAATGGCACGAAACACACAATGCACTAAACACTTCACAGAAAGTCACTGTCACTGACTCTGCTCAAAGTTGCTAAATTCTTCGAGGACGGTGGCGCGGCGGTTGACGCAGGGAAGGAGTCCATAAGCCGGCTTTCCACAAACTTCGCACTGTCACTCGTAATTATCCAGTAAAACTACGCACTGCGCCATGTTAGGTTCTGGATAATAAGTTCTATATACAGGAGAGAACACAAACACCTGTATAGTTTTGTAGGTTCGGTTTACTGGATGAGAGATATGTACACAAAGGGAGTAGTGCTCTCCTCAGCTTGGCTGCCTGTCAACTGCTATAGACGACGTATGGCAAGTGATACATTAGCAGCTTCCATACGTCGCCAGGCACATTAATTAAGCATGTGGGATATGGTAATTACATTGCCACACACTGCTAGCTAGGCTGAATAAATAATACATAAATGGAGCACATACATAATATACATACATAATATATAATCCAGCATACATAATATACATACAGTTTCATCCTACCAATCCGTGACCCGGCATATATTCATGCAAAGACGCATGATTATAAGCCCGATGAGGACTTTTTGGATTATGCAGCCAAGATAATAATAAAATCATCACAGTAACATCTATAGCGTCAATTCAGCAACGAGTTCCTAAGAACTCGGCAACAAAGAAGCAACATTTAGTATGCACACTTTGCATACTGTTGATTTTTGTTACCAACTCCAACAAAGTGGTGCTAAGTCTAAAAACAAACCAACCCCTCAACCACCACAGCGACTAGGCCCACCTAAGACTTATGCAACAGCTGCTCAAACCAAGTCTGCTTTAGACCAGACAGCTGACGTGTGGTGTTTATACCATAATTCTTCCACCCATACTATGGAGGATTGTTTAGCAGTCCGACGATGTAGAGAAATAGGGATGGAGTTACCCCAGGTATCCCACCACGGTAAGTCGCGTCGTCGCTTTCACAAGAAGTCGGGGAAAGACCAACGGCAGTCCCAGACCAACATAGGATAGGTACACCACTACCAACACGCGCCAACGCTTCTGTTACAGCCTCGTTAATAGCGGCGCTAACCAAAGCGGAAGTGTTATCAATTCCGGCGAGGGTTGGGTCAGTCAAGTTAGCGTTAGATATTGATACGGGTGCTTGTGCAAACGTACTTTCTTTGGATCCTATCAAAAGTTACAACGTAGATCCCCTCACCGATAATTTTTGATTCGACCTACTGACACCGATCTCTCTCGGAGTTTTCGGTACTCAGCTGGACATAATAGGAATAGTAACATTACCACTACGTTTTTCTAGACGTGGTATACCCTTTTCTGCAGATTTTTATGTGGTCCTAGACTTTACTTTACCAGCTGACGGTTTAATAGGTCTTCCAACTCTTAAAACTAATTTGATAGATGTTCAGCCAAGCAAACATACTGTCACTGTTAATGGTATTTCCTACAGTGCCATGCACACGTCTGTACCATTGCTCTCCGCAAGGGTGAATGTGTTGTCCAACGCTCCTACTACGAGGACGATGGATTCAGAGTCAAAGCGAGTCCAAGACCCCACAGACTCGCTTCCCCAGCGTGATTATAGCTGCAATAGTTGGACGATCGTACCTGCAGTTTTAACGGGTACTCTCCATTTTCAGAATGAGGAAATCACCGGAGCCACTGTTGTTTTACCTAACGTGTACACGGGGATGGATGTAGTCTGTCTTACGGAAACATGTGAGGTTAAAGGCTTATCGTGCGAATCTACATTGAGCACGATTCGTCCTGGTGGGTTAACAAACGTTCTAGTTTTCAACAGAACAGGCGCGTTACGAATATTGAAAGATGGATGTTATTTGTGTGATTTTCTAGTTTATCATAACCATGTTGCCCAACAGCCTACGCAATTCCCAATTGGTAGTGTTTCACCTTCAATTAAACAAATCAGACAGGAGAGGATAGATCAAATAACACCACATGTTAAGGTGATTGATCACCCTCAAGGCAAGACTAGTCTCCTGAGTTGCTTGCCGACTACCAAAACATTGTAGCTTTACCTGAGGAACAGTTAGGTCACACAAATTTAACCTCACATCACATATCCCTAAAACAAGGCACAAACCCAATTTACATACCAGCTTACCGACTACTACATAGCCAGTGTGCTGTAGTCCAGGACATGGTTCAGGATATGTTGGATCAAGAGGTTATCACACATTAAAAATCCCCTTTCAATAGTCCACTATTTTTAGTCCCTAAGAAAGATGGAGGTTGGCGCCCAGTAATTGATTTTAGGCGCGTCAATGAAAATACTATCCCAGATAGGTACCCAATGCCTGTCTTGAGTGATATTTTACAATCGTTAGGCAAAGATAATGCTGTATTTATCAACCTTGATTTGCTTAGCGGTTATTGGCAAATACCTCTTGATGAAAAATCTCAAGAGATTACTGGTTTAGTACTGTTTCAAGAAAATCTTTTGATTATGAGTTACCCGTACAGTCGGTCCAATCTATTTGACTAAAGTTAAAGTCGCCTACTAGACAGACTTTGCTATGTCTGGATGCCCTGCGCATTTCATCCCAAATAAGTTGCTCATTAACTCCATCAAGATTACGGGGTCTATATATATCACTCCAATGATTATTTTTTCCTGCCATCGGTTAATTCCATCCAAATTGTTTCTGTATTCAGTTCAGTTTTTATATCTTTATTTATCTCACACTTCAGATTATCCCTGACATACATTGCTACCCCGCCTCTTTTCCTAATCCGCCTATCGGTATGGAATAATTTGTAACCTGTAATTTGGTATTCGACAGGTAACTAACACGAGTCTTAAGTTTATCCACGTTTTGGTGAACGCTATTATATCGATTTTTTCGGTACATATCAATGCCTTAATTTCATCCATTTTGTTTCTCATACTTATACTGTTTGCATAGTAGATATTTAAGTTAGTCGTTATCTGAGTCCTCCCTTTGTCACGTTTAGGTTTTAACTCCCTGCCTAATTTAGTTTTGTCATCATTCCTAGCATTATTTCTCTAACTCTTTCACTTTGTTTACCTGCTCCCACTGCAGTCTCCTCGATTCCCGTGCTCACATGCTCCCCTATCAGTTTAAAGACTTCAATATCTTTTGAACTGCCGTCTCTGTCACAACGCCTAGATCTTTCTCCTTATTGACAGAATAGTTGTGATTAGGCTTGTTGCTTGTTGTATCCTATGTATAGGGTCTTGAATTATGTAATGCTAAATAACATTCACCAATGTTTCATAACATGCTCATAATCGTTGCATTGCTGATGTAGACACTAAGCTTTCCTGAAGAGCCGTTAAGAAAGCTGAACTACTTAATATTTATCTTAACAGTTTGGTCTTCGTCCACTGAAGCAACACCCACACAAAATAATTAATTTGCCACTAGATTAAGTTGTTAAGAATATTCTCTTGGTATTTCACAAAGTTCGATTTCTGTGTTGTTTTTTTTTCTCTAAATATCCACTGTTATATTTTCAGACCTAAGGACATTTAAAATGAAAATCCGCTGATGCAATTTTTTTATTCATCAATAATTCACATTAGAGTAAAATACTACTCACTATGGATGCACGTTGACCGTAATTTACTCCATTATTTTAACAACATGATTCATCCTTCATGCGAGAAGTTTTACGTCTTAGTGTCAACTTTCAGTAAAGAAGTCAAAGTAAATTTCTTGGTCCATAAGTGATTGACTGATCAAACATTACACTGTGGGCTACAGGTTGTACGTCAGGGATTATGAGGAAGCATGTTTGTGGATGTTGTGGTAGTGTTGGCGTAAATAAGAGGTTAGGTGTGGGTTGATGGTTGATCAGAGACAAAGGTCGGTGAAAAATCTCCTTGTCATTGATTGTTGTGGTTAAAATAATTATTTTGCTTTTTGCCTTTTATAGGATGTCTATAAATTAGTTCCCTCTGCTGCCTGGGGAAAATCGGACAACAAAATTAGGCTTTAACCTTTCAGTAGCTATCATGAGTCGAGGTCACTGAAAGGTGTGGGCCAAGGGTCAGCCAGGAGTATCCTCACCGGGAGCTATTGAGGTCATGATAGTCTCCTACACAATAGATGGTATTGGCGAAAGTCAGGTAAGAGTCCTCTCCTGAGTAGTCAGTATGGATCACAATTAACGAAAATATTTTAAGGTAACTGTTGGTCCTCACGACCAGAGGTCAACTGAGGAGGTGGAAATTAAGGGGTGGCGGGGATCTGGGTTGGAGGTAGGGGTGTCAAGGCCTGGTGTGGACCACAGTGCCAGCCTTAATGACGTGGGAGATGACGTGGTCGGCGCCACCCAACTGGTACACCAGGTGCTCCCACCTGAAAGGTCAGACAAGCGGTCAAGTCGGAAACCCTTAAAGCAGAGCTGTTATGTTTACAAAGATCATTGGCGGCAATAAATCAAATTACTTCACGCCAATACAAATGAAACATAAATTACTTATCAGGTAAAACTTGACAATCATCAAAGGAACCTAAAACAAATGTCCAAATTTTACAGTTAAATTAAACAACTTACAGTTGATATACGAAACTCATCATCTGGATTAAAAATAATTGAGTTATTATACTTTGTTTCTGTGGAAGGTAACCTTTCCATGATTAAGGGAGCATTTTATCATAAAATCCGACGAATATTTCAAGCATTTACCCACTGCTGCGAGGAATTACGATTGGTTAAGTCAAATTTTTTATTTGATACCAAGTTTCCGGTACGTTAGTTGACAAATTGAATTTGACGAACTTTTATTATCATTTTTATTAATTATTATTACTGGTCAACAAAGGTTGTAAATAAATAATTGGTACAGACATGTTACTCCGCAGCCTCTGAGAGACCACAAATATTGACTCGGCACACCACCGACAGTCTCATACAATAACGGATCACAACTCACCTAGGGGCGTCCACGATGACGAAGTCAGCCACTTTGCCAGGTTCTATGGAGCCATGGGCGTGGGCTTTTCTGAGGGCGTGGGCGGCGTGGAGGGTTGCGGCCGTTAGCGCCTCGTTCAAGGACATCTTGAATATGACACACGCCAAATGCATGGCCAACGGCTGTTCGTAGTGGAGCGTTATATTGTCTTATACACGACTGATTAAAAAATATAAATCCTGACTATATCTGTTATTAAAAGAGTGTTTCAGTGATATTCATACAGGCATTGTCTTATATAATACTGCTGTGCAATACTAATACATAATCAATGCCGTAATTAAGGTACGCACCATGGATAAACAGAAGGCGTTAGGGTTAAAGTCTGTGCCGAGGGCGACAGGTACGCCAGCGTTGATCATTGCACGAGCAGGAGGCGAGGGGAGCCTGAGGATGTGGGCGGTGGTGGGTAGCAGGACGCCCACAGTGCCAGCCTTCGCCATGGCTGCTATTCCTTCCTCAGACACTTCCTCCAGGTGGCTCATGGTTTCCGCACCTAGGGACGCTCCCATCTGTTTGGGTGGCAGAAGTATTGGTATTAGGAATTATATAATGTTATTACTGCTCTTCAAAAACGAAGGCCTTTTAATCGCGTAACAAGGTTAATAATCACACTATTCTAACAACATTTAAAAAAATATGAGACAAAAACTCGAATATATACTGTATAAAGTGTATATAACTATTGTATAGGACTATATACAACCAGTTTTTGCCGGCATGTTTCTCTGGGAAGAAATATCTTCATTTGTTAATATTGCTAATGGTCATTATAATACAGCCATATTACGGAAATAAATTGTTACTTTATACCTCTGCTCCCTTTAAAGGATGGAGCTCATCAGCATGGAAGTTAATAAAAAATCCCTCTCGTTGTCCGGCCTCCAAGATGCGTCTCGATTGGTCCACGTTGAACACTCCTTGCTCACAGAAAACGTCAATGCTATCAACATGCAACTGAAGGGGAAACGAAAGTAAGCCGGGAGCTCTCTTCATTTACAGCTAGAAATAAGTACTTAATTATAGAACTGCAGTACTATACCTTTGAAAAGTCATATTTAAAGACGGGCCATTCAAGTACACATAGGTTCAGTGTATTGACCCAGTAAGTTTATTAGTAAGGTTCATCTTCTCCCAGTGATCCGATTACTAGTACATTGCTATCATGAACACCAAGATCTTTCTCGTATCTTGTTTCATTTAGGTATTTAGTGAGGATTATATCCATTCTTACAACCCTTATTACCGCCAAAGATAATAAATAAGCAACAAGCAGTCGTTCTTACCTCGCCAGCGTCCTTGGCAGACTTAACTGCTGGCAGCTGTTGCTCCAGCACCCTTCGCGTCGCCTCTTCAGCCGTCAGGCCCCTGTAAACAGAAAACCATGTTGGATTGTTGTATCTAATACTGGAGGCTTCCATCGTTGTCTGGTTAAAGTTCGATACAGGGCGACTAGAATCATTCTCGCAATGAGACACCTTGAAGTATCCAGATACGTTAAAGACTTTGGTGGTTGTTGTTATAATGTTATGCTGTAACTCTTTGTGCTAGGCTTTAGAACTAACAATTCCTCAAACAAGACGCGTCAAGGCAGGTCTCACAGGCAAATTAAAACTTCAAAATGGAAAACAAACCAAGGTAATTACCGTACTTCAAGTTCGCAAATGTTACACATGCAGATAGGTCATGGGTTCAATTAGGCCAAATCATTATGCAGAACAAGTAATAAGAAAGATAATCACGCAGAGAATGAAACGCCCATCGCGTAGTCTACCTATCGAGTGGCAAAAACATTAAAAGAAATGAGGGTAGAAGGGGCCAATAAGTCGCGAGTTTTCTACCCCCGACTAGGCCGCTGTTCGATGTGGTGGCTGCAAGTGAACTTTTTACCATTAAATTGTTAGAGAAGGAACTTTACCTGGGCACGGAGTGGGCGCCGCAGAATGTTGAGGAGATCGTGAGGTGGGCATGTGGGCGAGCCTTCTCCAGTACTCGTAGCATTTTTAGTTCAGTGTCCACGTCTAGGCCGTAGCCGCTTTTACACTCCACCAAAGTCGTTCCTGTAGGGGACCATGAGAGATCGTGAATAATTTATGATACATACTCGTGAGCAACTGTTACTGACGTGACGTATTAACCAGGCTGTTCTCTCTGGCATTTTATTCAAAGGAAAACTTACAACAGTAATGTTTCTTCCTACACTAAAACAACACGAATTGAGGTGTGAGCAGTAACGTGAACACCCGTGATATGATGGTGGTTGCTGTGTTAAGGAAGAACACCAGTCAACAACTTAATTTATGTTTGTAATGGTTAAGACTTTTGTGAGAACGACTACGCTGTATATTTACATGGAACTGAATATTTATAGTACAATAATCCACTTTACATAAGAACATAAGAAAATAAGGAGTCTGCAATAGGCCGATTGGCCTGTGCATGGCAGATCCAGAGTTACTACCACTCTCTATCATCCATGAATCTATCTAGCCTCCTTTTAAAATTCACCAGCGTTCCAGCACTTAATACAAAGTTGCTAAGCTTGTTCCACTCGTCCACCACCCTATTTGTTAACCAGTTCCTTCCTATCTCCCTCCTAAACCTAAACTTATCCAACTTAAATCCGTTGCTATTGTACTGCGCACCTCATTGTCATCCCTAAAAGCCCGTTTTAATTCATATTACGCTACATAATATTCAAATCCACCGCGCTTGTAGAATCTCAGGAGCGTGTTTATCCTCGCGATCCCTCCCAGTAAGCCCCGCCTTTGTGAAGACAGTTATCAATACGTTGTTTATTCCACTTTCTCCTGGGAAGCTCAATCTTGAATTAGTCTGTGTAAATCAACCCAAGTAATTCGCCAGACCTTTGTCAACTGAGGGTAGTCTTTGAATGAGTGACAGTTAGTTTGTTTGTAATTATTGTCATTGCGTGAGTAGCGATCACTGGCAACTCAGGGGTGTATAAACTCGAGATGGCGGGGAATCAGCGTTCCCTGACGCCGATTCCCGTTTGTCTCCAGATCGAGGGTGGGCTTAATTGAAACCCACCGGTCGCTCGGAGCCGGTGGATACCCAGCAGTGGTCAATATAGGAGTGATGGCGCTGATTCGTCATGATTAATCGGCTCAACTCTACCTCGTGGGCCGAGGACCCCAAACCCATCTCGGGTCGGAGTGTAACCGACCACAACAACAGTTGTTAGAGGCGCCAGTGCTATACCCTGGGACAGGCCTTGGAGTTATGGTCCACAGTGTGGTTGTATGTGTTTTTTTTCCCAGTGTGTTTTATAAGAAATAAATCAATGAAGACATGTTATGGTTTCACCCTTCTTTACCCTTATCGATCTGATCAATGGAAAACCTAACCCAATGCCTAGTCCACTCTGCCCGCTACCTAACGAGCTACATGCTGTCCAGAGGGGGTCTGGTGGCAGCGACCCTTAGGAATTAAGATTAGAGTTAAGTTATCCCCTTAGATTTAGTGACCCCAGATCTGGCAGTATACTATGAGTCCTATCCTGCTCGGATATTATAAGAACTTTATCTATATCGCCTTTATTGATTCCTTTCACCCACTTAAATACTTCTATCATATCTCCCCGCACTCTTCGTCTTTCTAGGGAATGCAAGTTTAGTTTCATTAACCTATCTTGATATGGAAGGTTTCTAAGTCCCGGAATCATTTTCGTCATTCTTCGCTGCACCGACTCCAGTGAATTGATATCCATTCTATAATAAGGGCACCAGAACTGAACCGCATAATCGAGGTGCGGCCTGACTAACGCAAGATATAATTGCAATAAGACCTCTGCACTCTTATCACTTACACTTCTAGATATAAAACCCAATATTCTGTTTGCCTTATTTCGAACATTAACGCACTGTTTTCTAGGCCGTAGGTCCGGGCTTACAAGTACTCCTAAGTCTCTTGGTCCGGGCTTACAAGTACCCCTAAGTTGTAAGAAGTATAAGGGCAAAACGAGGATAGTTTATGACAATGCGTGGCAACAATTGACGCCAATCACCGGATACGTCAACAACTCAATTTCTTCATTTTAACAGGAAATTTGTTATCAGCCATGTGTTGCACACCCCAAACTAAGTCTGACACACAGAATTGTTATTACTAAAATAACAATGTCGCCACAAACTATAAAGTTGATGGACAATTTTAAGAACATTTTGCATCGGGGATTGAAAGTGACCGCAGCATTGCCTTATACTCTTGTATCAACTGACGTTTTTGAGACGAACAATTCTAAACTTTTGATTGGAAGGCATTCACTGGCTCTTCTACCACGGAATGGGGAGAACTTCAGTACAATGTTCACTGCTGAGGATTTTTTTTCTTTACACTTTTCATTTACAAAGGTTGTTGTTAGACGGCACCGACTTTCATCCGCTTAAGGATATACACAATTGCAACTAGCATGACTGAAGATAGACATCAGATCAAATGTTCAAACGCGATTTTAGTTTACGCTCTCATGTGGGATAAATTGTTCCGTTGCGCCTTTAAAATGCAACGACTGGTTTGTAACATAAATATGTTCTTGTTTGTACAATATTGTTGTAACTCATTTAGAAATTATGGCAAATATGGTAAAAACTTACTTTCATTTCATTACTTGTATAGGACTTTCCCCTCTGTTAATAAACTTGTCTTGCGTTAGCCAAATAGAATATTAAAAGTAGCATCCCCTCAGTGAAGGAGATAAGTTTCTGGAAAGGGGGGGAGGGGGGGAGAGCTCATTCCTCCTCCTACCGGTAGTGTCCCAAGTGGAGGGAGGAGTGTAGGATGACCAAGCTACGAACCCAGAGGAACCTTAGCTACAAGGAGGCTCTCCTTGGAGCTAAAACCAAGAAACAAGATAATGAAGAACCCCAACAAGAAAAGGAGAACCGAAGAACGCGATCAAGTGTGGAAAGTGCAAAAGAAGAAAACACATGAGCAAAAGGTCAAACTAACAAATGCTACGGCCGTAATGACCTAAGCCGTCGACGGGCAGCAAAGCAAGCAAGCAAGCAAGCAAGACATGAAGATAGGGATATAATTTTATTTCCATCCAGTGGTGTGTATTTACCTCTAGCCTCACTTGAGTTTTGTTTGTGAAAAATAAATAATATTGCGCAATCTGCACAGTGCGGAAATATTAGTCTGGTGGAAATCTCTGTTCTATTGGAGGCTTTCCTCCCAGACTATGGGCCTGAATTAATCTCTAAGTACTCACTTTCTCGCGAACTGGTTGTGTTGGGTTAACACAGAATGCTTGATTGTTATTGGACTGTAGTAACAGACCAGCAGCAGCAGCACGACAAGACTCACACTGCCGCAGCTCGAACCCAGAACCCAAGTAGGCCTCACCCAGTAGAAAAGGAAAAAGTAGGTTAGTAGTCGAGTTGTTTGGTGACAGGTGAAAGTACAGTCTTTGAGCTTACGCCAAAGATGGAACGGATCTAGTTGGAGTGAAAGAGTTTGGGATCTCTGATCTTAAAATGTCAGATTATTTGTTGCATGGAGGAATTAGGGTATCGTCGTAGAGTTTTTTAAGAAGAAAGTGGAAAATAGTTCTCTTATTTACTTAAAAATAATCGAACCTCGGATAAACCTCATCGGTTACGATATTGCTATTGCACCATCAGAGTTTGAATGGAATGGTGAGAGGAGAATATTTGAACTCAGAGCAGCTTGATAATTATGGTGTACCTGGATTGTTCTCAGGCCGCCCAGGTGCAGATATAGGAGGGGTTCCTGCCATTGTGGGTGTGTGGTTAGGAGTTTTTCTATCTGTTTATCACCTAATAGTTTCCAGTAGATGTTTGGCTGCTAACTGGAGTGTGTTGGGCGCGTATGTTAACAGGGGGCTTTGGATAAGTGTTTTGATTTTTGTTGTTGCACTTCTGAATCTACAGTATGTACAGTATGCCTGTGAGTGCCTTTTGTGCTATTGCTGCCTTCGTGATGAAGTGGTGTTTCGTGGTAAGGGTGTGGTCGAATGTCACTCCTAGTACTCTGTTTGTCTGTTTTATAGGTATGGGTGTTGGCTTGTTGGTGTATGGGTTTAGGTATATGTGGCGTGGTTGGTGTCTTTTTGTGCCAAAGTAGGTGATTTGTTGGAGTTTGTTTGTACTGTATAAGCCATTTGAGTTCCCACTTTGTGACCTGTTCGAGTTCCCAACGTGTTTTTCTGTGAAGTAATCTAGTGCTGTTCCGTGTCTGACAAATTGTGTTACGTCGTCGGGGTACTGTATGGTCAGGCAGATCATTAGTGGAAAGTATGCACAGTGTTGGGGAGAGGACGGGGCCTTGTGGAACTCTTGAGTTCAGTGGGAAGTGGTCTGAATTTTCGTGTTTGAATTTAATTCTTATTTGTCTGTTAGAAAGTTGCATTGGAGTTGTTGCGATTTATTGGGGAAGTTGAAGTTTGCGCATATTTTGTATTTTAGTCCATCGTACCAGACTGTGTCGAAAGATTTTTGCACGTTTTTAGTGATGAGTGCTGTTTTGTATGGTCTCTTGTTCATGTGGAAGTAGTTTGTAATTATGTTCAGTGTATCCTGTGTGAAGTGGTGTGCCCTGAATCCAAACGGTTTGTGTGAAAGCAATTCTTCATCTTCAAGGTGATATCTGAGGCATTGGTTGTATAGTTTTTCAAGTCTTGCTCAAGACCTCTAGGATGCTGATGGGATTGTATTTTTGTGGATCTGTGTGGTTTTTGTCTAGTTTTGAGATAATGATGGCTGTGGCTGTCTTAAAGGGTCTGGGGAAGTATCCTGCAGCAATTTGAGTGTTGTAAAGGCTGTGACTGTTTCTGGGGGTGTTTAAGGATTTGGTGTCCTACGCTGCTGTCGCCTGGTGTTTTCTTCTTTGTTCTGTCGAGTGCTTGTTTGACTTCTGTTGGGGTGAATGGTGCAGTGAGGATGTATTCTTGTGTGAGACTGGTGTTGTCTATAGTGTTTTCTGATATGGTTCTGTCGTTTAGTCTTTGTGTTTGTGCAGTAATGTTGTTTATGTGGCCTAAGATAGGTCCGTGTTGGGTTGGGGTGTGTGGGTAGAAGATGTGTTCCCAGTTTTTTTAATGTCTGTGCTACTTCAGCTGGTTTTCTGATTTGTCTGCCGGTTACTAACAGAAAATCGAAGGGGGGCCGGGCTGAGTTTGGTAATTCTTTGCCAGAATTCCTGAAGGTTATGTGTCCTGGGCGGCTGCTACGAGACCTGCCCAGTGCACGTCGTGGTCGTGGCGGAGGTTAAGGATAACTTGTCTTCTTAGTGTGGTGATATTTCTTTGTAATGGCGCGAATTTCTGTTGGTTTTGTGTGAATCGTCGTCTGCAGCAGTGTAGAAGTCGTTTTGTTCTGATGGAGGGTTTGAAGAGGTATCGTTTCTTGTGAAAACGTTTTGGTATGTGTGCGTCTGCTGTGTTGGTCATTGCGTTAAAGAGTTGTGTCCATGTTTCCTCAGTTTTCCTTGTGGGTTGGTGTTCGAGGTTGAGTGTGTAGTTTTGTTCGGCTAATGTGGATTTGAATTTGTCCAAGTCTGGGTCTTGGCACTAATATTGTGGTGCAGGTGTTGGGATCAGGATGGGGTTGTTGGAGAGTTGTAGTGTAAAAGGAATGTGATCTGAGCCTGATAGGAGGCCTGGTGAAATGTAGCCCCGCTATATTCACCACTGGTGAAATTTCTACCGGCGTGAGATTTATGATATAATATGATACCTCTAGTATATGGAAGCTTTAAGTCTTATATACAACGTGGCACTTAATATTCATATTTTATGACTGTAAATGAAATTGCCATATAGATAATTACGCCGTGACGTTAGTGTTTGTTTATGATGTACTCCCGGCAGGTAGTCTGACGTGCAATACAGTGAATCTTTTCAGCATTTATTTGTTAAAAGTCACGTGCAAACCTAACCTAATGAGCCTTACGAACTTATGGTTACGTTAGGTATTGTTAGTTTGTGATGTCTGCATGCGAAATATAAGTAATCAAATAATATAACAGTTCAAACTAGTACGTAATGCCTGGTTCTGTACATTGATGACACTGCCAGTGCCCAAGAGCCGTCACTTACGTGTGTTTAAGGACTGTCAATATTCACCGGTTCACGAGAAGTATGGCGATAACATATCATGGAAGAAGGTGAATTTTGTCTCGCCGCAGCTCGTTGTGAAGTATACCCACCAACTAACTGTTTTAATCACATTAAACGAACAAATGCACAGCTACAATATTACCTCTTTATAAATTAGGAAAACCTTGATCACCATGAACTGAGTTGACTGAAAGATATTGAAGTTACTTTTTGTAGTGTTTCCACATTGTTTGGAGGTAATTACAATAAACAGACGGAAAAATCTTCGCAGTAAGTAGATCATCATCAATAAACGAACTATTAAACGTATTGCACTGGTAGCCAGTTCAGCGGTTTTGCTCTATAACAGACTGCAAACAAATTGGGACGACTTTGTTGTGTAATCACGGTGTATTGTAACGAATTTAAATTTTTCTTTGTTTTCACATGAAGTTTTGATTGGTTAGGTTAAATTATGTTTCAAATTATATTTGACTGGATGTTATAGTTATCATTCCTGCTCCTACGAAGTTCTGAGATTTTATTCACTTAATGAATGTTATAAAGGAGGTGCATATGATGTGGTGTATACTCGGGCTAAGTTTGACCAGTACATGGGGGACATTTACGAATTAACCCAGAACGTCAGCCACGTGGGCTTGGTGTCTCATTACGAGCAAGTTAAACTAAGATACAAGTAGATCTTCCTCTGGTCTGGATATTTTATGTAAACCAATTAGATTTGTACAAGCTGGTGTGGGTGTAGTTATACCATTAACACTGGTTCACTCCGGTTATGCCACATACTGTATTACCTCTCAATGGGGATTCGAGCAAGGAAATAGTGGACTACGTGTCCAGTACGATAACCATTATCTTAGCTGATGATGTCACTTATGCGTTGGTCTGTTATAGGAGTCTGTATGAGGCTGGACTAACATTAACCAATGACATAGCTAAACCAAGTAAGTAACGTATCTTCTGAGAATCTCCGAAAGTAGTTTGCGCTACCTCAGTCAACCGAGTTGTCAAATGCAGTAATGGCGAGTAAACGGTACTAGTGTGTATGATCCCCTGTACACACCAGCCAGCATCAAGAACTTGTTGTAAGAAGATAGGCCAGCTTATAGACCTCGTAGACTGCTGCTGAGCAAACCCGATTTCTGTGTTAAGGTAAGGTGAAACTTTTGATACTACGATACTTTACGTTTACAAGTATTGTGAAGTCTCTGTAAGATGTAGTTTTGTAAAAGACCAATGGTTATAATTTACGATTTACGACCATCCATGATATTGCTGGTGGAAGTGTCATCCGTGATGGCAGGGTTGAAGGACAAAAGGATTACATTCTATATGAAAAATATTACTAATAATGGGGATCCTTTGTTATGGTAGCCTTCCTGTCAGATAACAGATACGTGTACCAAGGAGCTTTGACTGACTCAGCCGCGCGTACCTTATTTCCTGTTTACTGGTGTTGCTCTATTTCCTATATTGTTGTAAACATTATTAACACTCCATTATGAGGTGAGAGTCAAACTGGGAAACGATTACCTTAGAAGGTGGAGTCCGGATTTAGAATGTGGAGTCCAGTTTAAAACGTGAGGTCCAGTTTAGAATGTGAAGTCCGATTTAGAATGTGGAGATCGGTTTCCATACTCTACAGGTGCCTCATTACACGCCATGCCTGTATTTAAACTGCTATTCGAGCTAAGTACAAATTATGCTGTATGGGTCGCCCGTATGTAAGTGTTGCATCTAAATCTGCTGTAATTTAACTACATTAAACCAAACTTAGCGAGACCATGCTGACCCACAATAGACCTAACCAGTTAATCAAACCTTACCACACCTTACTACTAAACTAAATATTACCAAATTTAACTAACTAAGCAAGCCTTACCAGACTTAACTAGTATACCAAATTTAACCAAACGTAAGTAAACTATAACTAAGCCTAACAATATCTCACTGCCAAGCAAAAAGGATAAGTCACGAGTATTTAGGAGTAATTTCCGGCACATGACGTCAGTGAGGTAGACTAAACCGGTATGTGGGTCCAGTCGGTATTTGTGATTCCAAGTTCCTACGATAGTTTCCAAAAGGACACAGCCGAAAGTTGTCAACAATAAGTGTAATATTTTGTCACAGAAGATGTAGTGGTAGAACACGAACCTGCACGAGACATGCGGTGGAGGCGAGGGAGGAGGAGCTGAAGTAATTTTTCCTCGGAGGCGGCGCGGGTGTGTTCTACTGTGAAGTTGATGCCACCCCCCGCAGCGTGTACCTCCATGTAGGTCGCTCCAGCCAGCTGTTATCACACAACAATGATAAGAGTACAAACCCCCATACTGGATGCACCTCTTACCTACATATATTATAATGATTTAAACATAATTTTCCAAAATCGAGTAAATTACAGTATTCTTTGGTCAGAACCCAATTCACCTGTCCAAGTTCCATAAAAATACCTGTAGATCCATCGGTTTAATTTTGTATTTTGTTTATTCTATCTTGTGTCCCTGGTCATAGATTAACCAAAATATGCTGACTTCATTTTGTGGTCAATATACATTCTACAAACGATGCATCATTTTAATCAGAACACCTGAAGATTAGACACCCTAATTTCTTTCACCTTAATATTAACGACCCTAATCTAAACCTGACCCCCCCAGGTAGCGTTAGGGTGGTTATTTTTCAGGTGATCTAAAAATCAGTTCAATCATACTAGTATTTCTAGTGATGCAACTTCTCACACTAACCAGTGACCTGTGACACTCATGAAAATCTAATGAGTTCATCTTGGGACAGTCACCTCACAAGCCAAGTTTCATTAAGATATGTACACTTGTCTTTTGAGGTATTTGGTTCACAAGGAAACAGACAGTTGTAACAGTGAAACACGAGGGTAAATAACCTTGCGTCCTGTAGCAGCTGTGATGATATTTCTGCCTCGTGAATAACATTTAAACCCGTCTATGTAACCAAAGGAATGACCTACTCTAACCTAACCTAAACTAACGTAACCTAACCAAATCTGACCAAACTTTTCCTACCCTACCCTAACTTAACCCAATCTAACTTAAACAACCTAACTCACTCTAATCTAGCCTCACCTAACCTAAACTAACCTATTCTAACCTAACAACACGGTTTCATTATGGTGTTGTTCTTGTTTATTAATTATGGCTTTAACTGCTATGGTTCTACTCGTATAATAGATAACGTTCAAAAATATAAAATAATCACCGTACGAGACTTAAAATATCATACATAACATTGTCAATATTTACACAAAAGTCCTGATTCTCAGCCATACTACTAAGACCCGCACACGATATGTTTTTGATATCGACGATACACAAAGTCTAATGTAGGCATCTCTTTCGCTTACATTTAGTTTAATTTATCTCGTACCTCCCTCTCCTTTCTTGTTGTCTTCCCTTTTTTATTCAACCTCTACAATTCATTCTCTTTTGTCTTTACTTTCCTCCATATTCTTACCCCTATCTTCTATCTATTTTCCTCTTTTTTCCCATTTGCCTTTCCGTTTTGTGTTTGTAGTTTTCTTCGCTATATTCACTTTCTCTAACTGTTTTTGTCAATATTGTGAAGGATAGTTGTTCCTACAGCCTCTTGTCTAACGAGTTACCCAGAACTCGACTATGATAAGATATACGGATCACATGAAGATTAGCCTCACCTTATTTCACCTGATAATTAGCCACCCAAACGTTACCTCATGGGGGTTAAATTAGGATAAAGTTAACGTTAGTTTATGGTGGTTATTGTTGAGGTGAAATAAGCTGAAGGTAAAATCTTCAGGTGGTCTGAAATTCGAATTATACTGTATACAACGAGTTCAGGAAATGCTAACCCAAATGTATATAGACCAAGATTAATATTCAATCATGACATATTTTGACCATTACATTATCACAATGTAACCAATTATACTTTAACACAGTTTATCGCACATTTGAAAATTTAATTTACGTGTTAATGTTAAGTAGTAATTAACTGATGTCTCTTATTCCTGTATATCTCCATGTATTTAAAGCGAAAATATTACTTATTTTACGGAAGTGATGGATATTATATGACAGGTAAACATCCACCGACTTTACTAAATGGACTGTGACGTTCAGTAACTTAATGCTTGTTCTAAAATATCAGAAAATGTATGAATTATATCAACTGGATGATAAGGATAAAGTACAGTACAGTACAATATATGGTAGTCTCAATATAACCAGAGATTGTCGCATCATCTTGATAATTGATTTTAGTGTAATAATTATTGACCGGGGAGACAAAATCTACCAGGACATGTTCCTTCCGCTTCCACACGCTCATCGAACAAAGTCCAAAATGTCAAACCTTCATAGCGAACTCATGAACGCGATCTCCAGCCCACACGGGGTGGGTGTGGGCGTCCACCAGCCCGGGGACCACTGAGCGTCCGTGGGCCTCCACCACCGCTGCCCACGACACTCCTGGGAACTGCTCCTCCACTTCCTTGTCGAAACCCACGGCCGCGATTAGTCCGTCCCTGTGGGGAGTGATGCAACAATATTATGAATTGCATTAGTAAATATAATTAAGTCTTCTATTCCGCCAGTTATGTGTTACTTGCCACAAAGAGGCAACTGGTGACACAAGCTCTGTCTACCGGAAGACCAACCGACTCATAACTGATATTTCATTGCAAATTCCTGGCTAGGACTCAGCCTAGACTTCTTCCGGTTCATTAAGAATCTCGCCTGAATCACTTTTGAGTTAGGTTGAACTACTACTTCGATAATATTCTAGAAGACGCCTTCACACTAGATCTTGAGCAAGAAAAAATTCAACCTTAAATATTAATAATTTTTCCAAGTTACCTGTACAAACATGCCAGCAGTCCTCCATCTTCAAATCAACAGATGCAGACTAAAGGTCTTTTCTCAGGCTCCAATTCACCTGTTGATCAGGATGGATTTATTATGCTATATTACGGAGAACATAGCCCTTCGACCTTTCATTTCACACACGTAATTATTTCGAATCGCCAAATACTGATGAGGAAGTTCCACCACAGTCCACCTTAAACCTGTACAAACCTTGATAGCCCAAGAGTCGCGAGTCCAACGATCTGGAAAACGAGACAGGTAATCTAAACGTGATCCCAGAGGGATAAACACTCCCGACTGAGCTGTTCCTAATGAACCCCGGTAAAACACCCCGACTCCTCCCCCCACACCTCATCACCAGGAAAGATGCAGAAGTATTTACTCTTAGTCTTTTTCTTAGACTCAGGTTTAGCACATTGAAAAAAAAAAAAGAGAGAGAGAGAGAGAAAGAGAGAGAGAGAGAGAGAGAGAGAGAGAGAGAGAGAGAGAGAGAGAGAGGCATTAGCTGACAAACCTACGAGAGGAAAAAAACACAAAGTACAGTACAGTCCAGTATGTCCCTACGTTCACTGAGGTGGGGATGAACTTCAA